TTTTTTTTTCTTTTTTTTGGTGGCTGGCGAGTACAAGGATCTGAACCCGTTAACTTGGTGTTATAAGGCTGTGCTCCGATCTACTGACCTAACCAGCCAGCCCCCCCATAATTTTTCTTTTAAAGGACTACCTCCCATAAAAATTATTAATTTATTGAGAACAGGAACTATGTCTTATTTCTATTTGTATACTTAGGGCCTAATGTTGTGCTGTTTATTGGGCCTTATACATAATAGAAAATTAATAAAATGTCAGATGAAAAAATCAACCCAAAAATAAATAAACATTAACCATCAAGTGGTAGATTTCAAATAGTATAGCATTCTGATTTCATACTTCAGTCAGTCTAAACACTTAAAATCTTCCCTCTTAGCACAGTACATTGAACTTTCAGAAGGGGAAAACAAACCTAAAGATACTAGAGGGGTGGGGAGGCCAGGGGATTGTTGGGAGGGATAGGTTGGGTAAAGGGCATAAAGAAAAAATATCAATTTATAATAATAATATCTTATAATGTAGTAAAAATAAATAAACACTTAAAATCTTTNATCAATTTATAATAATAATATCTTATAATGTAGTAAAAATAAATAAACACTTAAAATCTTTCATTTTGAATTTTATAAGGGCAGTATTTTGGTTATTGAAGAGAATTTGATATCATTGTATCAATCAGGATTGTTTCAGTTGTAAGCAATGGAAACCCAATTCAAACAAACAAATAAACGTGTGAAGAAGTTTAGGAATTCAATATAATAAGATCCCAATAACCTGTACTCTCTCCATTTGTTAGTTTGTTGCTTTCATTCTCAGGCTATCTCCCCTTGATGGTTTCCCACTGTTCAGGTTTACTTCATCCTTAATCTTGTTCTGTCTTCCCAATAGTTCCACTGAACGTCCCAAATTTGCTTTAGTTAGACTAACTTGGTTCTCTTGCTCATTCCTAAACCAATCATTGTTTCCAGGGTTATAGAATATGCTGACTGTCTTAGGTCCCTGTCACATCCACAATTACAGTCAGGGGTAGAGTCACCTCCCCTCAAACCACATTGGCTAACAGTAGGGAAAAAGCATTTCCTTAAGGAAAATTAGGGTACTTTTGCCTGAAAAAGGATTAGTGTATGATGGCCTGGCATAAAATAGCATATGCCCATTTTCATAATCTAATCCATCTTTTCCTTTTAAAATTAAGAAAGCTGCACCAAAATGTTATTGCCTAAAGTCATATAGTTTCTTCAGTGGTGCTGTTTACATAATAAGCTTGCAATAATATAAAGTATTAAACTGACCAAGAGTTTTTCATTTTTTGATTGTTTTAAAGCATAGCAATGGTAGAATGAGATATAACACGACGGAAAGATTCCCATGCAGTCACTGCACTGCATTTCATCCCTAATGATCAAAGTCACCTGAGTAGATTTGCTCTTTGGTATAATTATTTACTGCAGTTAAAAATTAGATAAAACAGGTTGTAGAATCACTAAAAACAGTCAT